GTGACACCAGATCTAATTAGTGGCACTTGTCAGCGTATCCACTGTTAGCGTAACACACCCGCTTTAAGGACACTGACTGCTATTCAATCTACTACAGTAAAAAAAGTTTTTTGTTTTTAAATCCAAACTATTGTGACACCAGATCTAATTAGTGGCACTTGTCAGCGTATCCACTGTTAGCGTAACACACCCGCTTTAAGGATACTGACTGCTATTCAATCTAATACAGTAAAAAAAGTTTTTTGTTTTTAAATCCAAACTATTGTGACACCAGATCTAATTAGTGGCACTTGTCAGCGTATCCACTGTTAGCGTAACACACCTGCTTCAAGGACACTGACTGCTATTCAATCTATAACAGTGAAAAAAGTTTTTTGTTTTTAAATCCAAGCTATTGTGACACAGGATCTAATTAGTGGCACTGACTGAAATGGGCTGTATGCACTGTGGGCCTGACACAGAAGCTGGCAGCAGTGGCAGACAACTGGCCGCTATTCAATCTATAACAGTGAAAAAAGTTTTTTTTTAATCCAAGCTATTATTAGATGTATTTGGTGGCACTGACTGAAATGGGCACGAGGCATGCTGTGAGCCTGACACAGAAGCTGGCAGCAGTGACGGACAATGACTGTATTATTCAATCTATAACAGTGAAAAAGTTTTTTTAAATCCAATATTGTGACGCAGTGTATTTGGTGGCACTGACTGGAGAAATGGGCACAGGTGTCTGTAGGCCTGACTGAGAAGCTGGCAGCAGTGGCAGACAAACTGACTGCTATTCAATCCTGTGATGAAAAAAGTTTTTTGTTTTTAAATCCAAGCTATTGTGACACCAGATGTAATTGGTGGCACTGACTGGGGAAATGGGCACTGTGAGCCTGACACAGAAGCTGGCAGCAGTGGCAGACAACCAAGTGCATTTACATTAGATAGAAAAAAAAAATCCAAAAAAAGCATACCCTTATCCCTAACCTAGCTATGCTTTTCCCTATCTTATTAACAGCAGCTACACTTTCCCTCCTCTTACTAAGCATGCAGCTTGAGAATGAATCTAAAATGGATGCTGTCCAGTAGGTGGGAGGGTCTGCTAGGGAGGCTGTGCTGCTAATTGGCTGGAATGTGTCTGCTGACTGTGAGGTACAGGGTCAAAGTTTACTCAATGATGACGAATAGGGGGCGGGTCGAACTGCGCATATGTTCGCACGCCGTGGCGAACGCGAACATGCTATGTTCGCCAGGAACCGTTCGCCGGCGAACCGTTCGGTACATCACTATTTGGCAGTACATCCAACCAGCCTCACAACCACAGACCACGTGTAACCACACCAGCCCATGACCTCCACATCCAGACAGCTGCTGCAACAATCGGTTTGCATAACCAAATAATTTTTGCACAAATTGTCAGAAACCGTCTCAGGGAAGCTCATCTGCTTGCTCGTTGTCCTCATCAGGGTCTTGCCCTGACTGCAGTATATCGTCATAGCCGACTTGAGTGGGCAAATGCTCACATTCATTTGGCATCTGGCACATTAGAGAGGTGTTCTCTTCACGGATTAATCCCGGTTTTCACTGTACAGGGCAGATGGCAGACAGCGTATATGGCGTCATGTGGGTGAGCAGTTTGCTGATGTTAACGTTGTGGATCGAGTGGCCCATAGTGGCGGTGGGGTTATGGTATGGGCAGGCGTATGTTATGGACAACGAACATGGCTGCATTTTATTGACGGCATTTTGAATGCACAGAAATACCGTGATGAGATCCTGAGGGGCATTGTTGTGCCATTAATCTGCGACCATCACCTGAAAACATCCCAGTTCTTGCATGGCCAGCATACTCACCGGACATGTCACCCATTGAGCTGTCAAGGCACCCGGCTCGCTGCGAGGCGCGCTCTTGCCTGACCAGCACGACCACGCCGACAGACTGAGC